TCGACCGGACCGGTCGACCGGTCAGCCTGCAATCCGGTCGACCGCATAGGTCAACCGGTTTCCATGTGATCTGGTCGACCGCACAAGTCGACCAGTGGAATCAGCTGCGCGAGAGAAGCTCGTGGAAATCAGTCCAAAAATCTGCAAATCCAGTCCCAAATCAAAATATTTTAAAGAGAAACCACTAGATCTGGGTTCTAGGTTCTAAAACAAGTCCAAAGAACCCAAGATCTCTAATTTCTACTCTAGTTTTACTCAAAAACCATCAAAATCCGGTTTAAACCAAAAATAAGTTTTGAAATTCAAAAACTTGAGATTCAAGAGAGGCTTTTTCAGTAATCTTACCTCGAATCCTTCTCTTGACGTTGAAAACTTATTTAAATCTTTCATTGGTTCAAGATCCGTTTGATTTGGGATAAAAATGAGAGAGAGAGAGAGAGAGAGATGCTCAGGAGAGTGAGAGAGAGAGATGCACGGGAAGGAAAAAGGAAAGAGAGAAAAGAAAAGAAAAGGAAAAGAAAAGAAAAAGAAAAGAAAAGGACATGTGTACAATGTTTTAAAAGAGCAGTCCAGAAATGCGCCCATACACACTTCTGATTTAAAATAAATTACTGAGAATAATTTAAATACCTTGGAACTATTTAAACTCACACGTGTTAGAAACATTTATTAATTAATACTCAATTAATAATCCAGATTATGCACACTAATAATCTCAATTACCTTAATTAATCTCAATTAATTCTTTAGCGTGTTACAATAAAAGAGGAAACGTGCAGCACGTTTCCTCATTTTAAATCAAAAAAAGGGAGTGGGAGGAAACGTACTGTTGCACGTTTCCTCACCATGAGGAAATGGAGTAAATGTGCGGCTGCACATATACTCAAAAACGGGAATGAGTTCTGGTTTTTCTAAGAGGAACAACAAAGTTTTTTTTTCAGAGAAAAGAAAAAAAAAGGAAAAGGAAAGAACGGGAGAACAAAAGAAAAACCAAAGAAAATTTCTTGAGTGTCGTCATATACTTTTGAGAAAAGTGAGTGATAACTATAGGTGGCTTCCTTATTCATCCATCTCATCTCATGTGTTGAGAAACCCATTAGAGCGCCCACACATTCGAGTTCACGTTAATCCGGAGATACATTGAGAAAAAACCGTGGTGTTCTTGGAATTTAAGAGCTCAAGACGGTGTTGGAGGAGTTTAAGATTTTCATCATAATCGAACGACGGTCAAATCATCATTCTTTTCTTTAATTTCTATGTAGTTAAATTAACATGAAATAATGATCGCATTAAATTTTAATTTATGTGATTCGATCGATACCACGCTTCCGCACAATTTTTTTTGAAAATTCAGTTTGAGAAACCAACAATTGGTATCAGAGCGGTCTTTATTACATGCTAATTTAACGTTTAAATTATGTGATAATTCTTAGATATTTAATGGGTAGGCACTTTTGCATATGATGTATAATTATTGTGTGATGGTTATGTTTTATGCGAATGGATTGGTCGTAAATTTTTCCAGTTCCATGGAATTAGTTTTTGCTATTTTATTTTGATTAGATCAATTGTAAAATAGGAATCAATATGTAATTTATTATTCTCCTAACGCAAGAGGATCATCATGGAAGAGTTTCAACTATTTATTTTTTTAGAAAAGTTCCAAACTATCCAAAAAAAAAAAGTTTTCCGGTAACCGTACGGTCGCCGATGACAGTCGCCGGCGAAGGCCTGCTGCCATGGCCGAAGGTCGACCATGACAGATCTGCAACAGCATTGAAGCTGATGCAAGGGACTGCACCTTAAGGTGCAGTCACGGATGATGGCCTTGTACCATAAGGTGCAAAGGCCTAGGCCCTTAAATGGGCCTGCTCTGCCTCAGTAATGAGGCAGAGACTAATAGGTTCTGGGCTGGCATTTCTAGCCGGCCCAAATCCCAAAAAGGGGCCCAAAAACTATATATTTTTTTTGATCCAGTAGAAAGGAGACATCAAGATGGAGAATATTTGAAGATGGAGAATTACAAGAAAACCTACTTTTGATGTAATTTTATTTTTATTATTATTTTGGGGTTGTAATTCTTAGGTCCATGGAACCCAGCCAAGTTTTTCTATTTCGCTTGCATGTTATTTATTTATTTATTATGGTTGATAATAATTATATTGGCATGCATCTAACATGCCATCTAGGATAAAAGTGTCTACCTAGTTTATATGTATGACATGCATCATGCGCATTAATTATATGTTTTAATTCTAAAATTATTTTAGTAAATTAAATTAATTAAATGCGCCAAATTGTTGAGTTTAATGAGATTAAA